GCTTTGGTCCACATCTCCAATCGTTTGGCCGATGGGGACACGGATTCACTGAAAGGGCTCGTCACCCATGAGGTCCTCAAATGTTTGCCATTTTAGCCATTATTTTAATGATAATAATTGACCACATCTTCAGGCATTGACTGAAATCCGTGACAATTTGCCAAAACTAAGTGCCAAACAGTTACAAGAACTGAGAGTTGATCCCAAAGATATTATCTATACGTTTGTCGATACCATCGGAATCATTATGAATGACAGTAAATATGACACCAATTGTGTCAACCATTGGACACCCAATTAATTTTGGTTCACTTTTCTCACTGCTATGTGAAGGCAATAATCGTTGGGTCGAAATAACAGTTGTTTACTATTGTCTCTATAAATACCACAAATTGACTCAAACCAGAGATATCCCGTTCCAAGAATTTAAGGACAAATTTGGTCCAAATATCACTATTTGTAATTACAGGTATGAGTATGTCTCATCAAATCTCAATCAATTCTGTTAGTGCTTTATATTGATAGCAATTGTGACAACTTTACCTGTTGTACACTGTTATGAACGTGTATTTAGTAAATGATTGTCTTCACCATTATTATACTCTATCATAAAATTGCATTTATTTCACTATATTAAAGGTTTATTAGGGATTACACTAAAGGAGTGGACAGTGACTGGAGTGTCAACCTATTAGCCCATTTCAATAACAATGATTTAATGAAGGGTCGATTGTGATGGCATTACAATCTCATGGCTTTCCATTACCACAAGGTATGGTACGGTAATACACGAAATACTGAATGAAAACAATCTACGGTATAATTAGAATATCACATAATATAGAGCTTAATGACATATGGATTAACCACAAGCTATAGTATCTCAAAATCAAGTCATTTGATTAGAACATTAGTTTTCTAACCAAAGAATTAAAATTGAAAATATTTTTCAATAAAATTTATTATTAAAAATTCAAAACATATTCATTTGAAAGAATGTATTGCTTTAATGTAAACTAATTTCTAAATATATTATAAATAACGAGATCTTTGTCAATGAATACAGAAAACGAGTTTACGATTAGTAATCATTTAGAAAACAAAAGGGTTAACAAAGGAATAAATTTTACAGTCAATTTATAAATAGTTATTTCAGTAAACAAATCGAAAATTAAATTTATGGCACAAATGATGAGAAATTAGAAAAGTGTTCAAATGAGTGATTGTTTTACAATCTTTGAAAACATTGAATTTGTTGATAGTTTTTATGAATAAAAGCTATTTTAAGAAATAATGAAATCTAAATGATTTGATTGACAAGTGATTAGAGAATTAGAACCTTCAGTACAGAATCAAAGCAAACATAACTGAAACCAAAAATAAATGAATACTTCGTTCAAAAGTTAATTATAAAAACTCAAAACTCACTAAATTTTAAATCAATTCATTATTCAATTAAAACTAAAATAATTCCATTTTCTAACAAACATTTAAAGACTTTATGTTTAGATAAAAATATAAAACTCTTTATTAAGATTATGGAAATAAATACCACAAAACATATATGGCGTGAATGTAAAGGTTCTCATGAGTGATAAGATTGTACTCATTTTCATAACTGTTTAAAACCGTTGGTCTCTATATTCGACTTTCTTGTGATCCATTGAATCCCTTTCCTCTCGAATTCGTTCAAAACAGTCGTAAAGGAAAACGTGCTGTCATTGCATACAAAGCAATCGTTTTAGTGGTCATTCAAACTGTTAAAATACTTCACGACATACATATGGCGTATGGATTCTCACGAATCGTGGCTTTTTATCAGGTCTACTGTATTGAAAAGCGAATGCCAGTCCCTCTTCATCGATCTCCCATTCCTTAATGCTCTCCCAACTAAAGTCTATTACTTGTGACTAATTCAAGAATCATATGTTTTAGAAACCAATTGAGAAACATTGCTATCAATACACACTTCTAGCGACCCGTCGTCTTTACAGGCCTGCAGTTTGAAACAAGTGGTGCCTATCGTTGCCATCACATGTCCTTCTTTGCGGGCATCACATTGACAGTGAGGGAACGATAGCTCTCCGTAGCCATCAAGAGTTCGCACCAGTTTTAGATACTAAAGTAGTGTCCAAATTATTTGGTCACTAATTGACAAAATGATGGCAATGTTTGCAAACCTCTGATTTCTTGGACGAGTCCTGAAGTGCTTTGAGTTCATAGAGTTTATTCCCGGGTTTTATTTGACCCTTATTTACATCATCGACAGCCTATTAGACGGAAAATCATGAAACAATGGGTGAGTGTCTGCGAGTGGTGTTTGGAATATGAAGACAAAGACAATACCTGCCAGAAGAAGAAGGTTTCGACCAAATCATCTCTACTTAACTCTATTTCTTTGGTCAAAGAGAACAACCATTTCTTAATGAGAAGACACGTGGAGGCGGCGGTCGAGTAGTTTTGAATGTAGAGAGAGTGTGGATATTCACTTCGGGAGAGTTTGCGTTCGAAGCCGTACTCAACCATTTCGTATAAAGCAAAGTATTCAGACATCTCTTTGTTGAGCCCTACCTTCTCGACCACCACTGCAAACACGTCAACCGTTGAGCTATTTTTGCGAACATTCACTGAAATCGTGGTCTTATCGGGAAGAAGTATTTTCAGATCAACCGGTGCTGAGTTCGTGCCCTTTGGTGGCAAATGAGACAATATTTAATGATAAACCACTTGAACTATTGAACACAACGACTCACGTGTTGGTCATCGAAATCAGTTAAGAACTCTTGCATGACATCACTTTCTGCGATCACCCGAACGGCACAAACCTTTTCAAGGTATTGCTCTAAACCCCTGCGCCGAGTGTCCAGCTGTTGGTCAGACAGAGAGAAGGGCCACTTTCCCGGAAGTTTTGGGAACTGGAAGTCCGGGAACTCTTTCTTTAGATTAGTATTGAGATTAACGTATTCTTTATATCTTCGGGAACACAGATGACGGCCCGCCATATATATGTTGAACACAACGTATTTGTCGGCATTCCTCTCGATATAGTTATAATCGGGAATAGATATGGGAAGTGATCTCTTCTCGCTGTAATCCAAGTAGGAATAAGTGGACGTCTCGTCGTTCGGCTCCAACTTCTCAGCTTCCTATCCATTCAGACACAACATTAGGTCAGACACACAGACACTACACAACACTTACTCTTGGAGTCACCGAAATGACGGTTAGTGTGAGTTTGTCTCCTCCGCTCTTAATTAGATCCACAACTATATCATTGATTCATACGAAGCGCACAATTAGTCACTAATCAGTGAATTCTATAACAAGACAATACCCTGCTTATGAGTGGCGCCCTCGACGTTAATGCCATTGCTGTGAGACATGGGATACAAGAAGATTAGAGAGACATGACATGAATGGCAGTCAATACGAACACTTCGAGAATTCTGTCGCCT